GACTGGAGGGGTGATCCGTCCTCTGGCCAGGTGGTCGACTCCTCATGTTTTCGGCTGCGACTTCAACGGCCTCGTGGTTGTCGTCCTCGTCTTCATGGTAATTGAGTCTGCATTCGGATTCTAGCGAATCGGCGAATGCTTCGCTTTTTCTTCACTGGAGTAGGCCAAGCCGCGTTGGCCGTGAAGAGTGGGATCGTGGTGCGCTGACGACGAAATTTTCGCTGCACTAGACCAGGCCGTACCATCCTGGGTCTCTAGTTCTGCACAGGCTGCATTCCATCTGTTGTTTTGGAGTTCCGCGAGTGCGTTCTTCAGAGCTAACGATGCTCTGTTTCGCGCAACTCTCCGACTCCTCTTCAACAGCTGGAGATGTTTCTCGCTTGAGTCTTCTGTTCTCCCTGATCAGGTGCCTAATATGGTGCGGTGCTGGACCATTTAGGTATCTAGGAACGCCGTAGTCTCGGAGCGGGTGCTGTCCTCGTGCGCTCGCAGGACAGCATTCTCCAGCTCCTCTACGGCCGTTGTCCAGTTCCCCTCCGCTGATCGATGGTTGGAATTTGATGATGTTCCTCTGGACGTTGGATTGTAAAGGTTCCAGTTCGTCCGTTTGGTGCTCAAGCTATCTCGAGTTCTAGACCCTGTACCAAGTGTTAGTAGAATCGGATTGTGGTCCGACGATCCTTCCACCAGGGTCTATCTCGAACTCCTCTCTGATGTTGCGGAGGATGGCTATGTCCAGTACCGGCAGGTCGCCCAAGGCCGAATGGATGTAGGTTGGTTGCTCTCCGACGATGACCCCCGCCAGGGCATCGACGTGTTCCTGGAGCTGCCTTGCATTCCTGTCTTCGACGTTGTTGTTCCAAGCCGGAGACTTGCAGTTTAGATCTCCGATGACTATGCGTGCTCCTGGGCCTCTCAGGAGGTCAGCGATGTCATCTTCGTCTAGGGCCTCCCCTGGTGGCACATATAGGGAGGTGATTCTGTAGGGACGGTGGTTGTGATGGACCTGGACCGTGATTCCGTCCCCATTTATGTCTGCGGCATCGTCGAGGACATGACTCGTCAAGGTACGTTTGACGAGTAATGCGACTCCTCACCTCTGCCCCTTCTGTCGTAGCGGTACGTCTCGTACCGCGGGAACGTCAGAATATGGGCAGCATCCCAACTTCGTTTCTTGGATGGCCATCACCTCTGGTTGGTACTGGTCTAGTATCTCCTGGATTTCTGGTTTTCCGTGCCCTGAAACCGTTGATGTTCCAGGAGATAATGCGTAGAGATTCTACGTTTTGACCTGTAGACATTTCGGGTCTAGTGCTTGTCTTGCATCTTGGCCTCGAGTGCATCCAGGCGGGTTATGATGGCTTGCATCATTGCTAGCAGTCTGTCATCGCCGTGTTGCTTCTGCGCCAGTAGTTCCAGTAGCAGTGGCGGCTGCTGGGGCAGAAGTGGACATAGGCTTCTTCACTTTTTGGGCGTAAGAAGTCCTATTTGTGGTGGGGGCTGCTTTGGGGCAGAAGCAGCTTTTCTTCGGCGCCTTACTACATCCCTTGTAGTTGGCGGGGTGGCCTTCTCCAACAGAGGCAACACTTGGCGTTTCGTTGCCCTGTTGGCGGCGCTGGCAGACTGCAGCTGGTGCTGTTGTGGTCCTCTCCACACTTAACGCACCGTTCAGCGAGACGGCAGTTCCGCTGTGTGTGCCCGTACCGCTGGCAGCGGTAGCACTGGCTGGGCTCGGAAGACTTTTCTTCCTCTCGAAGCTGACCGTGAGCATGGCCAGCCTCTGGATCTCTGCAAGCTTTTCCGGCATCTTCGTCTTGACGAGGAAGAGCGGAAGTGGCTTCTTTGTGGTCCTTGAAGTCAGCTGCTGAACCACGGCCGTCTGCGATGCCTTGGCTCACCAATCCTCTTTGATGTCATTGACTGACATCTCTCTCGGAGCCCACGAATGACCCTCTGGTCCATCCTGTCCTCCTTCAGTTGATATGTGAAGAAGGGCCGCTTGATGGATTCAAGCAGTGCGACTAGCTGACGGTAGTCAGCTGGTGTATTTGTGAATACCTTCACACTGGTACCCGCCGTCCTCGCTTTGGAGAATTGAATCCCCTTGCTGTTCATCATCCTACTCAAGGATGACCAATCAGCGGTGCCCTCGATGTTGATTGGCGGAACTCCTGTTCCTGCCATGGGGGCCTCGGTGGTCCTGGTTGCTCTAGGACCACTCTTCTTTGTGGCAGCTGGCATCTTCGCTGCCTGGGTTCTTCATCTTCTTCTTCGGAGGAAACTCGCACCCGCTTCCTCCGTCTGGTGGCGACACTGAAGTCGGTGTCGTCCGTCCTCTTCTCGGCTTCTTCTTCTTTCGGTCCTTCTGTCTGTTGAGTGCCCTCTTCTTGGGCGTCCATCTCGTCCGATGTCGCCTGGTGGTCCTCTTCCTCCTCTTCTCCTGTCTTCTTTGCGGCCTTCTTCTTGGCCCTGCGGAGCTTCCCGCCCTCAGGTCTTCAATTTCCTGTCTGGCCTGCAAGAATGCTTCTTGCAGGTTTCGCATCTGCTCTTCCAGCATGGCGAAAGCATCCTTCTTTTCTTTCAGCTGGTTAGCCAGCTTCTCAATTTTTGCCATCGTAGATGGCAAACAAACAATCTATCGCAATGAAAATTGGCTGGCTAACCAGCTGAAAGAAAAGAAGGATGCTTTCGCCATGCTGGAAGAGCAGATGCGAAACCTGCAAGAAGCATTCTTGCAGGCCAGACAGGAAATTGAAGACCTGAGCGGGAAGCTCCGCAGGGCCAAGAAGAAGGCCGCAAAGAAGACAGGAGAAGAGGAGGAAGAGGACCACCAGGCGACATCGGACGAGATGGACGCCCAAGAAGAGGGCACTCAACAGACCGAAGGACCGAAGGAAGAAGAAGCCGAGAAGAGGACGGACGACACCGACTTCAGTGTCGCCACCAGACGGAGGAAGCGGGTGCGAGTTTCCTCCGAAGAAGAAGAAGAAGAACCCAGGCAGCGAAAGATGCCAGCTGCCACAAAGAAGAGTGGTCCTAGAGCAACCAGGACCACCGAGGCCCCCATGGCAGGAACAGGAGTTCCGCCAATCAACATCGAGGGCACCGCTGATTGGTCATCCTTGAGTAGGATGATGAACAGCAAGGGGATTCAATTCTCCAAAGCGAGGACGGCGGGTACCAGTGTGAAGGTATTCACAAATACGCCAGCTGACTACCGTCAGCTAGTTGCACTGCTTGAATCCATCAAGCGGCCCTTCTTCACATATCAACTGAAGGAGGACAGGATGGACCAGAGGGTCATTCGTGGGCTTCCGAGAGAGATGTCAGTCAATGACATCAAAGAGGATCTGGTGAGCCAAGGCATCGCAGACGCCGTGGTTCAGCAGCTGACCTCAAGGACCACAAAGAAGCCACTTCCGCTCTTCCTCGTCAAGACGAAGATGCTGGAAAAGCTTGCAGAGATCCAGAGGCTGGCCATGCTCACGGTCAGCTTCGAGAGGAAGAAAAAGTCTTCCGAGCCCAGCCAGTGCTACCGCTGCCAGCGGTACGGGCACACACAGCGGAACTGCCGTCTCGCTGAACGGTGCGTTAAGTGTGGAGAGGACCACAACAGCACCAGCTGCAGTCTGCCAGCGCCGCCAACAGGGCAACGAAACGCCAAGTGTTGCCTCTGTGGAGAAGGCCACCCCGCCAACTACAAGGGATGTAGTAAGGCGCCGAAGAAAGCTGCTTCTGCCCCCAAAGCAGTCCCCACCACAAATAGGACTTCTTACGCCCAAAAAGTGAAGAAGCCTATGTCCACTTCTGCCCCAGCAGCCGCCACTGCTACTGGAACTACTGCGCAGAAGCAACACGGCGATGACAGACTGCTAGCAATGATGCAAGCCATCATAACCCGCCTGGATGCACTCGAGGCCAAGATGCAAGACAAGCACTAGACCCGAAATGTCTACAGGTCAAAACGTAGAATCTCTACGCATTATCTCCTGGAACATCAACGGTTTCAGGGCACGGAAACCAGAAATCCAGGAGATACTAGACCAGTACCAACCAGAGGTGATGGCCATCCAAGAAACGAAGTTGGATGCTGCCCATAGTCTGACGTTCCCGCGGTACGAGACGTACCGCTACGACAGAAGGGGCAGAGGTGGAGGAGTCGCATTACTCGTCAAACGTACCTTGACGAGTCATGTCCTCGACGATGCCGCAGACATAAATGGGGACGGAATCACGGTCCAGGTCCATCACAACCACCGTCCCTACAGAATCACCTCCCTATATGTGCCACCAGGGGAGGCCCTAGACGAAGATGACATCGCTGACCTCCTGAGAGGCCCAGGAGCACGCATAGTCATCGGAGATCTAAACTGCAAGTCTCCGGCTTGGAACAACAACGTCGAAGACAGGAATGCAAGGCAGCTCCAGGAACACGTCGATGCCCTGGCGGGGGTCATCGTCGGTCCGGAGCAACCAACCTACATTCCATTCGGCCTTGGGCGACCTGCGGTACTGGACATAGCCATCCTCCGCAACATCAGAGAGGAGTTCGAGATAGAGACCCTGGTGGAAGGATCGTCGGACCACAATCCGATTCTACTAACACTTGGTACAGGGTCTAGAACTCGAGATAGCTTGAGCACCAAACGGACGAACTGGAACCTTTACAAATCCAACGTCCAGAGGAACATCACTCAAATTCCAACCATCCGATCAGCGGAGGAACTGGACAACGCAGTAGAGGAGCTGGAGAATGCTGTCCTGCGAGCGCACGAGGACAGCACCCGCTCCGAGACTACGGCAGTTCCTAGATACCTAAATGGTCCAGCACCGCACCATATTAGGCACCTGATCAGGGAGAACAGAAGACTCAAGCGAGAACATCTCCAGCTGTTGACAGAGGAGTCGAGAGTTGCGCGAAACAGAGCATCGTTAGCTCTGAAGAACGCACTCGCGGAACTCCAAAACAACAGATGGAATGCAGCCTGTGCAGAACTAGAGACCCAGGATGGTACGGCCTGGTCTATGCAGCGAAAATTTCGTCGTCAGCGCACCACGATCCCCACTCTTCACGGCCAACGCGGCTTGGCCTACTCCAGTGAAGAAAAAGCCGAAGCATTCGCCGATTCGCTAGAATCCGAATGCAGACTCAATTACCATGAAGACGAGGACGACAACCACGAGGAGGCCGTGGAAGTCGCAGCCGAAAACATGAGGAGTCGACCACCTGGCCAGGAGACGGATCACCCCTCCAGTCCAGAGGAAATCCGTCGGATCATCCGCAGGTTGAAGGTCAGAAAGGCGCCGGGAAGGGACGGCATCAACAATAGGATGCTGAAGAACCTTCCCACCAAAGGCATTGCTGCGCTCACCAACATCGCCAATGCCACTCTGAGACTTAACCACTTCCCGCGGCGGTGGCGGGAAGCCCAGGTTATAATGCTCACCAAGCCAGGCAAGGACCGGAAGTTGCCCCAGAACTACCGGCCCATCAGCCTGGTTTCCTCGGTGGGCAAAGTAGTCGAAAAGGCTATCGCCGTTCGACTAGAGAAGCAGGCAGAAGAACTGCAACTTCTCCCCCCAGAGCAATTCGGCTTCAGATCCTCCCACAACACGGAACTCCAAGCGCTACGATGACGGAAACATCACCAGCGGCTTCAATCTCCAGGAGGGCAACCGGTCTCGTCCTGCTGGACGTGGAACGAGCCTTCGACCGAGTTTGGCACGATGGACTCATCGCCAAAATGGAAGCCGCCGGAATCGATGCGAACATGTGCCAACTGATCCAGAGCTATCTAACACAAAGATGGTTCACGGTGAAGATTGGTACATGCCATTCAACAAGGGACGTCAGCTGGAGCAGGCGTGCCCCAGGGGTCAGGCCTTAGCCCCCCTGCTCTTACAACATCTTACTTACGATGTGCCGAAGACAGCTGACACCAATGCTGGCCCTATATGCAGACGACACTGCTATAGCCGCCAAGCATAGACGACCCGAGATCATCCGTAGGAGACTACAGGGTGAACTGGACCAAATTCAGGACTGGTGCGTGAAATGGAAAATCCGCATCAACGTCCAGAAGACGCAGGCAATCTTCATTCAACGAAGAAGGATTGCAAGACCTCTCGAAGCATCCATCTTCGATGAAGATATCCAGTGGAGCGACAATGTCAAATATCTGGGGATCGTTTTTGACAAGTCCCTCACCTGGAAAGCGCACATAGAAGCTGTCATCGCAAAAACCAGAGCAGCCATGGCTCAACTCTATCCATTACTGGGTAGACACAGCCAGATGCCGCTAGCGACCAAGCTACGGCTGATCAAGGCCATCGCCAGACCTCAGCTCGCTTACGCCTCCGCGGTCTGGGGGTACGCTGCCCCCAGCTACCGCAAGCGACTTGCTGCTCTAGAGATGAAGCTACTCCGGATCGCCACCAATGCACCTTCCTACGTAAGGAACTCAACCTTGCGTAGAGACCTGCATTGGGATACCATCCACGAGTACATGAGGAAAAAAGCGGAGAAGACCTTCGAGAAAGCTCAGGACCACCCGAACGAGCAGCTACGATTCCTCATGGACTACGATCCGGATGAGAGGCCTCGCAACCGCAGAACCAGGTACCCCAGACCAAGGTCCCAGTTGGCACCCGCTAACTGGAACCTTGACTAGGAGACTAGGAGAATTTGCGGCTGCTCCCCCCCCCCCCCCCCCCACGGCGTGGATGCAGAGGACCAGGAACCACCGGGACCAGGACCCACCGGGACCAGGACCAACCAGGACCAGGACCCGCCACGACCAGGACCCACCAGGACCAGGACCCTTCAGGACCAGGACCAGGAACAACATATTGGTAAGATGACTTGAAACTCTTGATTTTTCGAAAACAAGAGTTTCAAGAGAAACTAGCAGACCCTCTATCGATGATCGCTTAACGACATCGATAGAATGTGCGAGGTAAAGGGAACCAACCCGGCGTTCCCAGAGACTGAAACACATGAGGAGACGTTGTAGCAGACCGCAGGTCACGCACAACACATGGCCTACCGAGACGCTGATGAGTCGGGCCACGCGGAGGTTTAGGGTTTAGTGGGTATTAGGTGATCTCTTCAAGACCCTGGAGCCCCACACACGTCGTAGCTCGTGCTATGGTATGGTGCGTAAATGCATTCCCCCCTCGTTAAAAAAAAAAAAAAAAAAAAAAAAAAAAAGTCGTTCCGTTAGTCGAGCGTTGGTGTCGATTATACTCAGCATCATCTCACAATAAAATGCCACCCCAAAACTAGCGGTAAGGCTGCCAAAAAAGCGGGCAAGGCGCAGAAGAATATCTCAAAATCTGACAAGAAAAGAAGCGCAGGAGGAAGGAAAGTTACGCAATTTACATCTACAAAGTACTGAAGCAGGTACATCCCGATACGGGTATATCCAGCAAAGCGATGAGCATCATGAACAGCTTCGTCAACGATATTTTCGAACGTATCGCTGCGGAAGCTTCCAGATTGGCACATTACAACAAACGTGCCACGATAACTAGCAGAGAAATTCAGACAGCCGTACGACTATTGCTACCGGGAGAATTGGCCAAGCACGCAGTCAGCGAAGGTACCAAAGCCGTCACCAAGTACACCAGTTCAAAATAATATAGACGTTGTATTCGCTTCGACGGTTATACGGTTCGAAAAATAAGAACAAAAAAAAAAACGGTTCTTTTCAGAACCACTATGTTATGATAAAATGCAAAATGATAATTAGCTGTGGTCGTTATTTTAATCTTTTCATCTATCTCTCTCTCTCTCTCTCTCTCTCTCTCTCTCTCTCCTCTCTCTCTCTCTATATATATATATATATATATATGTATAGAAGAAGTCCGTAATATCTGGAAGATGTCACCTGTATCACTGCACTGGGAAACAGTACCGTGATCGTAGGTGATCTAAACGCGAAGTCCACCATTTGGGGCTCAAGAAACAGAAACAGTCACGGCGCTGTTCTGGAAAGACTAATGGATGAACCTGGATATACCATGATAGGTCCGGACGAACCTACAATATACCCCAGCAACGGAGGTAGACCAGACGTCATAGATATGGCGATTCTGAAGGAAATCGACATGCGCACCACCATCGGCGCCATGCAAGAGGGAAGCTCAGACCACAACCCCATCTTTCTCTGTACGGAGATGGGATAACACCTGTGGAACAAAGAACAGTGAAGAGAGTGAATTGGCAGCGGTTTAGAACCAGACTGCACTATTCACAAGGACCACTACTACAGATCGAAAGCATAGAAGAAGCGGTCACGGACCTAGAAAGGAAGATTAAGGCTGCGTTAGAAGCCGCAACCACCGTGGAAGACATAACGCAACCAAACAGGTTCAGGGACCTACCTGACGAGGTAAATCGCAAGATCACCGAAAGAAACAGAGCCCGAAGAGTAGCCCAGGAGACCAGAAGCCCCACTGACATCATGGTGGCAAACAGACTTATGAGACAGGCACGAGACGCCTTGAAGCAGCACCATCAGAGCACCTGGGATAAGAAACTCGACGAACTATCTCCAGCTGACCCAGGAATGTGGAACTTGGCTAAAATCCTCAGAAATAGAAGACAGCCCATCCCCCCAATACACAGCGAACAGGGGATGGTGTACACAACCGAAGAGAAGGCAGAAGCTTTTGCTGACAACCTTCAGAGACAGTGTACTCACAATACTCACCCCGATGAAGACGAAGACTTCATCGACGAGGGTGATGAGAAGATCGAGGAGAGCTGTCAGAGGAGGAAGAGCCATCGAAGACATGCCCTCTCCAGGCGAGGTAAGGGAAATCATCGAAAGACTCAAGGTGAAGAAGGCACCGGGTGTAGACGATATTGGGAACAGAGTCCTGAAGAGACTCCCGAGGAAAGCGATAATGGCAATTACCAACATCGTCAACGCCATACTGAGACACCGGTACTTTCCAGATCACTGGAAAGTAGCCGAGGTGATCAACATTCCTAAACCTGGGAAAGACCCAAGGTTCCCCCAAAATTACAGACCCATAAGCCTGTTGACGGCACTGAGCAAGATTGCGGAAAGGGGTAATCGAACGAAGACTGAAGAACGAAACCGAAGAACTCCGAGTAGTTCCAGAACGAACAGTTCGGATTCCGATGCGGGCATTCAGCCAGAGCACCAGGTCCTAAGGCTGGTCGAGATGGCAACGAAAATCGTTCCAGACTCGGCGGGCCGTGGGAGGCTGTGTTCATGGATGCCGCAAAGGCGTTCGACACTGTTTTGGCATGACGGACTGATCTACAAGATGTAGACCTCGGATACTCAAAGGGCATGATCCAACTGGTGAAGTCTACTTGAAGCACCGAAATTTCCGAATTAGGATCGGTAAAACAACCTCGACGACGAGGACTGTGGAGGCAGGAGTACCGCAGGGAGCGGTTCTACCCACCCTGCTGTATCCAATCTACAGCTCAGACATCCCGAAGACTCCTCAACGCAACTGTATGTGTATGCGGACGATACAGCATATGCGGCATGAAAGTACGAGACCCCGCATGGTTACGGAATATCTGCAACGAGCGACCACCAACCTAGAGGAATGGTGCATCAAGTGGAAGATCCGCCTCAACCCCGAGAGACCGAAGCGGTACTGTTCCGAAGAAATCGAAGATTACCTCAGACCAAAATAAAGATGACGACCACCAGAATGGAGAGAGGCTGGAGAAGAGATGAAGAGGTTGAGGTCGACTGGAAAGACTCCAGCACATACCTTGGAGTCAAGATGACCAGAAACTCACTTGGAAGAACCATGTCGAAGACCGGTAGCAGAAAGTGAAGATGGCACGCTCCAAACTACGACCCTTAACGGGCAGAAGAAGCAAAGTGTCACTAAAGAATAAGACCATCATGATTCAGATGGTGCTGCTACAAATCATGACTTACGCAGCAGTAGCTTGGGGCTACGTTTCCAAAACGATGAAGAAGAGGCTCCAAGCTCAACAAACATGGCCACTCCGTGAAGCGGTGGACGCACCGTGGTATGTACCTAACAGAGTGCTATATGACGAACTACGACAGTACCGGTCGTAATCCAGATGAGAGAGAGGGCCAGAAAGTTCTTTGAAAGAAATGTGCTGATTGAAGCCGCCCTTGATTACGACCCAAGACAATAAGGCGTCATAAAAGACCGAAAAGCCAGCTGCAACAAGAAGATATTTGGCCCTAGCAGCTGATGAGGCAAAGAAAAGGGGAGAAGACCGACAATGAGTTGTACACCCAAGAGGGGAAAGAACAGCCCGTGTACAACGGGTGGACAAAAAAGAAGCCTGTCGATTGAGGTTGGCCAGAGTCAAGCACGGACTCGGGGCTAACCTCAGGAGACGAATGACTTACAAAAATGACTGACTGACGACGACTGACTGACTCCAGTCGACGAGGAAAGAGCGAAGGCTCACCAACCTTTAGGAGGGGCTTAGGTCGAAAGCCCCCAGCGCAGGACCCCAAGAAAAGAGGCCGGCCATAAAGTCGAGAACCGACAGTTGGAAGAAACGTCCACCACGCGCTTCCGCGACGCGTGCGCGATCGAGTCAAATTTCGGGAAAAAGGGGCAAAATTGGGGAAGGGGGGATAGCTCGTTCGGCAGCACACACTCGGGGAATGCGCAAGCGGCCTGAACCACGCAGCGCCACTCCAGGCCTTTGGGCGGGAGTGGGGGGAGGAGCAGATTGCTCTTCCCCCCACTCCTCAAGGGTTTGAGGTTGCCTGGAACAGGGGTGGTGGAGGGACCGCACAGGGTAGGAGGGTGTGTGTGTGTGTGTGAAGTCCGTAGCAGAAGAAGAAGAAGAAGACGAAGACCGTTTTGTAAAATAACAAAATTAAGTAACACAATTTTTTTTATACATTTATAGCCCATAAGTAACAGCAGACCGAATATATTGCCAACGGAAAATCCTTTTTATTTTGGTATTCTGAGTTTAATTGATGTTAACTGCCCAAAATTGATTACTTATCGTTTATTCCTTTCCCCGCGGATCGGTGTATGGTAACTTGTTCTAACAGTTAATAGTATTAACGGAGTGTCATTGTTTTTGTTCAACAGCGAAATCAGTCAACATAAGGGTATCCACGATTTCCGAAGGTTAATACAGGGTGTCCGCAAAGTTGGGCTTTTCCTTTTCAGAAACAACTACCCTTGAAATAACAAAGGTAATGCGTAGTGAAACGAGGGCCGACCATGTAAAAAAAATATATAAAGGAAAAAGTACTCACTCTCCAGTTGACCCCATTACGTGTGAACGTAGATTCGTCTGTCACCAATATGCACTTCAAAAAGTCCGGATTATTGTCATGTTGATGCAACAACCACTCACAAAACCGCACTCTTGCTGGAAAATCGTCAGGTTGGACGTTTGCCACACTCTAGTTTGTGATACTCGCACTTCTCTAGCCACGTCTCTAGTGCTTGTTGAGGGATTCTCGTCTACCTACGCGATTCAGTAGTTCTTCCTCAACTAGCACCATTCGTGGTTGTCTAGACCTCCCACTGTGCCCACCTCGATATTCCTCCAAATGGCCCGTATCCCTGACTCTCTGGACCGGGTACACAAATCTGCGGGGCCTTGGATGATGTCGTCTAGGGAAAAGATCTGCATACACTCGCGACGATTCTGTATCATTTTGAAGACGTTCATTAATAAATTAACAACATATCAACGAGTTCATTATTGGTATATGAGTGTGCCATTATTATTATATTTATTATACCTCTATACGCGTGACCCTTTACCGTCGGTTGAAGGTTGCATACTGACCTGACACTCGGACCCCCACCCCCGACCCAGTTCTGTCGTCGGGTTCAGCTAGTAGCCGGTACCTGTCTGGGGCATCGCGGCGGGTGGCGGCTACAGGACGGTATTCAGATATTTTGATGTTGCAGAGCCCTTTATCTCGGTTCCCTTAAGATATTGGTGTATATGGCACTAAGAAAAATTGCTTATGTTTTCAAGATCTACACGTCGTGTAAAGGATAACCCCAACTTTGCGGACACCCTGTATAATAGAATTAGAACCGTTCGATGTATATATTCTTTTCAAATTACAGTTTTTCGATAACACAGCATAGCATGTCCATAATTATATATATATATATATATATATATATATATATCTATATATATATATATATATGTATATATACACGTACATAAACATAGAATCACGGAAACGAAATGTAGTACATCGTTATTCGAATATTCGTACATTTTCGAAGTTCGCTCAAGTATATACTTTCGAGACTACAACTGGAATATTAGTCGAAATATTAAAGATCTACACACTTTCCAATATGACGTTGAATCACTGACCGGACGTACAGCGATATCGGATTGTTCGCCTGCGATAATAGTGGCCGCTATTAATGGGAAATGTATTTAAAAAAAACTTCTACACAATTTCCGATATGACATAGTGTTCCAGTCACTGTTGGTTGTCAGAGCGCTACGTGGCACATTTGCTCTAGAGTCACAGTGTCACTTTGTACCTAAGTCTATCCAGGTCTGGTATCCCAGAAAAGAGACTATTTTAACCAATATATGACATAGTATCGCACACTGAACGTACACCAATATCGGAATGTATGTCCGTA